GATGTCGAGATGATCAATTGAAGGATATTTAGGCATAAAACAATCGCTTCTAGTGAAATTTTTGAGGTGGGCTTTTAATTTGATTGTTTAGAGCCTCGGCTCTATACAAACTTTTTCAATTTGATTGTTTAGAGCCTCAGCTCTACACAAACTTTTTCCAATAAGTAAGTAATGTAGTTATCTATTTTTTCCACAAATCACAAAAAAAAATGATTTTTCTAAAATTCACAATAAATTAGTTTTTTGAACATTTCACAAATTTTAACTTTTCTATTTTAGTGAATTGGTTGTCCGTATCACTAGTTCGATAACTTGTTGGAACTGATTTCAGGTTTTAAATCACTGTTAGTCTCCAAAACATAGAAGGGCAAAAATAAATTATTGGAGTTAGCATCCTAAACTGGAACATCATGTAGCAAAGCATTCAAGTATGAAGACAACAATTTTTACGACTGTTAAAAGAAATGGATCGGTGGAGCGGATTGTACAACTCAACACCGGTTCGGATCAGCTAAATCAGTGGTCCGGATTGTTTTATATTAGTGACCCAAAAAATTTAAAGAGAGACATAAATAAAATAAAAATTACAATAGAGATTTATGGGATGAGGATTTAGGTGAGACCACAAAAAACATTAGATAAGTTTCAAGGAAGACAAAAAAAATAAAAAGGTTTTGAGTTGGGGGGCCCTATACCACTTCGGAAGCGGTTCACTTATTCCGCATCTAAATCGGCGACCTGAATGAGAAATCACCGGGTCTTAAAACATTGGTCTTTACTAATAATGATAAATATCTTGCAAATGGCCAAATCCTAACTGACTTATCAATGATAGGGATAGGAAATATAAAATAAACTTGTAATAGAACCATGTGTCGACACTTTTTTAGTTATTTATTTGTTTTTTTCGTTTTTTTTTTCTTGTTGCTCAATAGGAGTTGCAATGACATCTTAACCAATCAGGGTGAGGAATGTGTGTTTTGTCATTTGTATTGATTTAAGACTCGATAAATTTCAAGATGCTACTCTAAATCTACCGAGCAACACTTTACAAAGGGTGTAGAAAAAATTTCTATGGTCCTTGTCCTGAGTTCATTACTAATTGTTTAATCAATATTTAATAATATTGTATAAAAATCTCTCTCTCTATATATATATACATATATATGTATATATTGTATAAAAAATCTATATAAATTATAGGCATACGAGTACTCTAATAATAGCAATTTAATAGCTTGTAATTTGGTACTTTTCTTTTACTTTCAAAGCAACTTTGCAAGGGTCACACGTGTTTATCATGGTCCAAAAAATGGATGGACCACAGTGAAGAGTAATGTGGGCCTATCAATTAGATCATTTGATTGGCCCGTTCTTCTTCTCATCGTTGTTAATGATGACCAATGTTTGATCTTGAACTTATTTAAGGGGTGTGCAATCCGCTTCCAGTCCCTAGATGCAATGATTTTATTTTTACTCCCACTCTAACTAACTTTCCGTTTATTCAAATCACCGATCCACTTGTTTTTGGTCATTAATAAGTGGGTGGTGTGGTCTAAAATCAGATTTTAGAGATACGGATCACTGTTTCGGATGACAATCTGTTAGGACCAAACTAATTTAAAGAGAGCACAAGTCCTAACCTGCCTCCTCGTTATATATATTTTTATCTTACTTTTAAGTTTATTTTATATTTTTTTAGGTATTTTCTAAACTCTAATCTCATAAATCTCTATTTTAACATTATCTGAATCACTCAAACAGATTTACATGGGAATGATCCGCCCCACCGATTTGAATTTGAAGACAGTATCACTGCTCTTAATAACCATGCAATTGTTATAATAGATGAACTTTATGCTTCCCGATTTGGAAAAACGACGAGGGATATATTCGTAATATCCGCTGGCCTTTCCGTCCTCGTGATCGCAACGGCTCCCACAAACGGAAAAGCCCAAGACGGCGACGACCAACTTAGATACCGTTCCGTTAAGAGGACAGTAGCAGGGACGCTAACGGCCGTTAAATATTGCTTTCGCGAAACGCAAGGAAAAGCCTAACGGTAACGGCGTTAAGGGAGGAAGAAGCGTCGTCTCACTCTCTCGATTTCCGTGCACGAGTTGCGTTAACCGCGGTTAGGTTTGGTTAGAAGAGGTGTGGTTAAGTTTTAACCGCGAGGGTGAGTTAGGATCTGGTAACCAAACGCTGTTTCGAGACCACGCTCGAGAAGAGTTTGAAAAAGAAAACCACAAGCCTTAAAAATGTGAATCGCAAGTGAGAAAACGAAACTATTTAGAGAGAGAAAGAGAGAAACAGAAAAAAAAAGTTAATGGAGCATTAGGTGGACTTTAGAGACAGACTGAACGTAAAAATGTGTAGTATGGAGTGAGAAAATAAACTTATTAGAGAGACAGGATCTTATTAGACAGAGAAGGACAAGTTTTTAGGGCATTAGAGTAACTTTTAGAGGGAGAAAGTGAAATAAAATTTTAAAAAGTAAAATTATTTAAAACTCAAAAAAATAGACTTTCTAAGCAACTTACCTCAACCTAATTTTTCCTATCAAAATTTTTCCCAAAACCATGTCCCCCAAACACAAAAAAAAAAAAAATTAAAATACCCCTCCCTTACCGCACACGTTGACCATAGCGGTCCGGCGTTTGGAAGGGGTGGTTCGACGCTTAAGTCACTGATATGCAATGATTAGGCACTTTATCATGGTGGGCAATCCGGTATTTGTTTATGGATTAATGAGCGGTCCGGCATTTATGTGCTACGGTCTGGCAATATTGAAAATTGTGTCTGAAATAAGCGGCCTGGCAGTGTACAGTTCTGGTCCCGCAAAATGGATAGGTGTGACAACATACAACCGCGGTTCGGCATTTCTTTTTGTTGGGATTCGAAAATGATTTGTTATGTACGATAAGGATATTTTTATCAAAAAAAATAAAAAATAAATTTTTTATATTGGGGGTATTTGCTATAAAACTTGATTTTTGAAAAAAATATGTTAAAAAAACTAAAATGTATAAGGCGTGTAAAGTTTATTTTAAAGAGTTTTATACCATTTTCCCTTTTTAAAATGTGAAAACAGGGGTAACAAAATAAACTAATTAAAGAGAGAAAGAGAGTGAGGTATACTGGAAATAAGGTTTTAGAGCGTGAGTGGGATATTTATAACATGTTTGGTTCGTGAAAATGTTTTCTAAAAAAATATTTGTACATGAAAAAGCTCCTTCATAGGGTCAGGGATGAGAATATTTCTACACCAATAACCACCGATTGATGTGAAAAAATCATCACTTAGATCAATTGGTGCGAAAATATATTCTACATCATATAATGAAACTTTTTTACATAAAAATGTATCTTAGAAAAAGTGTAGTTGGCATACGGATGCATCCGAAGCAGTAGACGTAAGGTGCACCTTCAAATTTTACCATGGTATATAATTTTGATGTAAAATGTTGGGATTATCTCAAAATCTCTTTTTATATCTAATTATAAAATTTTAAATTTCAAAAATAATTAAAATGAAGTAGGATCTATAAACATATAAAAATCTTGAAAATAGACGGTGTAGATAATATGTTGTAAAATGCAGTATTTTTTATACTTAAAATATTTTTATTTTTCATGATCATACATCTCGATATCCAGATGATCGATAAAAAACTATCGTTTCCGATGAATTTTGAAGTGCATAAGTAGCGAGGTAAGGTTGCAACCTTATATAAATATTTTCTTTTAGAAAATTCTTTCCCGTCGGGAAAAAGATGCTCTAAAATGTCAATAAGGGTATAAAACTAGCTAATTAGAGAGATTAATAGAAACGAATCTTTAAGCATTAGAGGGATCTTGGAGTGAAGAAGAGGGAAAGCAACAAGGGATAGGAGAGAGAAACAAGTTTTCAGAGCATTGAAAGGGATTTTAGAGAGAGAGAAGCACGTTTTTAGCGCATTAGAGAGAAGTTGTAGAGCACAAGAGAGGGGTTATAGAGAGAGAAAGAGGGAGAAGCAAGTTTTTAAAGATTGTTGGGGGATTTTAGTGGGAGAGAGAAGTCTCTAGCGCGTTATAGAGAGAATGTAAGAGAGCCGTTATGAGAGATCGAAAGCAGAGAGAGAGAGGGTTGACGAGTCCATTTACGTGGATAAATTGTTAAGGTTGCGGTTTTGTATATGTTTAGGGCTCTAAACAATCAAAATTAAAGTTATACTTTCAAATAGTGTAAAGAAATGTGGTTTTAATATTGGGAATCTATATGATAGTCTTAAGATATATTTTTACATTTATTTATAAAACTTAAAAATAAAAAATAACATAGATTGACAAATCTACGAAGACTTCAAAATATAATTGTCCAAAATTGTGTTACAAATACATTATTTTCAAAACTTGAAATCCATTTTTTTTGGGAAAGCTTTCTATGTTCCTTTACAACATAGAAGTTTTATGTTCCTCTTTATCCAACCGTCTATTTTTAAATAGAGGATTAGGATTGTCTCAATTACAATGTCATGTCTCTATACTATTTTATTTTTAAGTTTTTTTCTATAAACGATTTTGATATCAACTTTTAGACGTCTATTCCTATATTAAACTTGCATTAAAAATAAAATAAAATAAATATTTGTAATAAAATAAAATGATCAAAATACCCCTAACAATTTCAAAAAATATTTTGGTTATTATTTTTTAGAGAAAAATTATTGTTAATATTTTTTATAGATGCGTTCTAATAAAAAGATGGTACCTACCAAATTTCATATTAAAAACAATTAAATGAAAAAAAAAATAAAATATAATTAAAAATCAAATACTTTGAGATGTTGGATATAAGATCGAACCATGACACTCTTGACAAAAAAAAAATGGACAGCTGGATAAAAAGAGGAACATATAACTTTTATTTATTAATGTGCATGTTGATGTCGAGATTGCCAATCTGAAGATATATTTGAACATCAAAACAAACTCTTCCCATCAATTTTTAGCCTCCGCTCTGTATAAACTTTTCCCAATTGTTAAAGACTCGTGAAGACATATTTTTACAAAGTGGAAATGAAGAAATAAGGCAGTAAAAAGTTAGAGAGAGAAATACAGGAAGAAATACGCAGAGATAAAGAGAGGATAGATAAGGTGCTTTGGGTTAAAGAGGGGAGAGAGAAATACAAAAATGGAGAGGAGGGAGTGAGAGAAAGGCAGAAAGAGGGGTTTTAGAGAGAGAAAGGGATGAGAGAATTTTTAGAGAGAGAGATGGTGGTGTTCTACTATTGTTGCTGTTCGCTTTATTGGAGGGATGAATAATTTCGATTCTCTGTGCTGCGGGTCCATGGCGGCCACGTACAAAAGCAATCGTCCTCTGTTTGCACGGGATTCACTGTTAGCTCGCTGGATATGAACGGGAAAAAGGTCCTAGAGAGAGAAACCGAAAGCCTTTTTGTTCACGGTCATTTCTCTCTTTATCTCTCTAATATTCTCTCTCTAAGTCTCTGATCCAGGACTTGATAAGACTTATCTAATGGATTCCTTCTTTGTTGATACCCCCCCCAACTCCAGTTTTTCTCTCTGCTTCTCGTTGATGCTAATTTCCCGTTGTTTCTCGCTCTAGATCCACTGCTTTCAAGTTATGAATCGTGAAGATCCGGCTTCTTTTTTGTTGTGCTAGTTTTTCCTGGGAATAGAAGGGTTTTTCGCGAATAACAGGGAAAGATCAAGGCCTCGAGGGCTTTTTGTCAACTATTGTTCAAGGCTTCGTTTTAGATACGAGAAAAACTTTAGTTTCTGGTGATTCCAGCCATTTGTCGTCATTTTCAGGCTGAAAAGTGGTGGAGTTTGTGAAATTTATTGGGCTATTGTGTCAAAGGTTGCCTGAAAAGTTACCGGATTTTTGTGATTCCTGTGAGAAAAGGGGACAAAATTCTATAGCTTCTGCAACTCTTTCTAGTGAGGACCTGCAAAAATTAGAGGTATGTGGAATTCTTTTGCTAGAATGAAGATCTATCCATGCCGTTAAATTTTCTATGATAAAAGCCTCAGAGAATATTTTCACTAGGATTTTGGTATCAAAAGTAGCTTTGGCCCTAAGAAAACTGAAAGAAGGATTTCCAAGAAATTTACAGATGGTTTCAGACATGGAAAGGATGGTGAGATGCTAATTGCTGGAGTTACAGAGGCAAAAGGAGTTATTCTCGTCTTGTTTTTGGTCACAACTCACGGAAAGTAGACTTTGATGCTTAGTGGGAGAGAGAATTAGGAGATAATAATATTGGCTTTTTAAATCACAGGAAAACCTAGTGTTTTATGTGGTCGATATGGGGAAATAATTAGCTGTGGCCTTAGGGTTTTGAGACAAGATCAGGCAATTTTCGCCATAAAGGCTGTTTTATTGGGCTTTTCCTACTAAATTGACACCGGGCTCAAATATTTTCTCCGAGTAATATTAGGACATAACACCAGAGGTTTCCGAGGAATTTTTCGGCCCTCTAGAGAGAACTTGATCCTCTCAAAGCAATGGAAGGAGAAGCAGTTGCTCAGGTGGCGACACCATTATTTATGCATCAGGCCTTGCCTGGTCGTTTCTGTGAGCCTTCGGCCATGACAAAGAAGCGAGAGGCTTCATGGGTAAATCCTTCCTGGCATAACCATCACCAACAAAACCAGCAGCAGTACAATTCAAAGGCCACTTGGAACCCTAAAGTTTGGGATTGGGATAGTGTTATGTTTGTCGCGAAACCAAAGGAAATCAGTGTGGATTTACAGAGTGGGGCAGAGGGCTCGAGGCTTGGAGGAGAGAGCGAGCAAAGGTTGAAGGGGGATGAAACCCTTAAACAACAGAAATTGAATAGTGAAGAAACCCTGAAGCCCATTGCTTTCAAGAGGAATGACATGGAAGATGCAGAGAATTTGACCCTGAAACTTGGGGGTTCAAATTATTCTGCGGTTGAGGATACATCTGCGAGGCCAAGTAAGAGGGTGAGATCTGGTTCACCAGGTAGCAGCTCTTACCCCATGTGCCAAGTGGATGATTGTAGGGCTGATTTGTCTGGTGCAAAGGACTATCATAGGAGGCATAAGGTTTGTGAGGTGCACAGTAAGACCACTAAAGCTCTTGTGGGGAAGCAGATGCAGAGGTTTTGCCAGCAGTGTAGCAGGTTAGCTTCTGATCGTTGTTCTTGATTGTTTTGTGGCTGTTAACTAAGTTGATTTTATTGTTTGGTGATTTTATCATGGATGGGCTGGGTTCTGTTTTGTTTTTGGCTTTGCGCTAGTTGCCATTCTCGTCTTGCAATACTCTCTCTGTGTTGATGGTTACGAATTGGGTAGGTGTGTTGGTTGGGTTTTGGTAATGGAGTTTTTCCTCCTTTTGCAAGGACGTGTGTTGTGGACGATCTTAATGATCGGCCTAATGATCAGTTTTTTTGTTTTGCCCTTATAAGAACTTTATTCGGTGAAGATTCTTGGTTTTTTTTTCTGGCCTAAAGAGGGGATTCTTGGCTTCTAATCAATGGCTAATTTTGAATGACTGAAAGGGATTTGACTGTGAAATGTGGCTTCTTTATGTGCTCTTTTCTTTTGGGGATTTAGTTAAGCATTTTTCTTTTCTTTGAAGGTTTCATCCACTTCAGGAGTTCGACGAGGGGAAGAGAAGTTGCAGGCGGAGGCTCGCAGGTCATAACCGGAGGAGAAGAAAAACCCAACCAGACGATGTGTCTTCACGCCTTTTGCTTTCTGCAAACCAGGACAATGGGAGCCCTGCAAATCTTGATATTGTGAACCTTCTGAATGTTATAGCACGTCTTCAAGGTATATGATCTGGGGTCATGCTTTACTTTTTGTCATCATTCAAGACATATAAAACAAAAAACTCTTTCCCGTTGCTGTAATCATGAGAGCTTGACAAGTGAATAGTTCCATTACAAATGCAACACATTATGTTTCCAATTGTTCCCTTTTACCCTAATGGGTTTCAACTGTTTATTAACATGAAGTTGTTTTGTTGCTAGGTGTAAATGCTGATAAAACCATAAACGGGCAGCCTTTGCCTGATAAAGATAGGCTGATTCAGATCCTTAGTAAGATCAATTCCACGCCTGCGTCTGAGAGCTCTGGTGCAAGTTTGGCTGTACCTGAAGGCTTTGACCTTAATGTTTCTCAAACCTTGCATTCTATGGAGCACCCACTTAAGCCCAACGGAAACCAGTCTCCCCCATCCACCACGGATTTATTTGCTGTTCTCTCTGCTGCACTGGGGACATCCTCTTCTGATGGTCTGGCTGTACTCTCTCGAGGGCTGAACAACCATAGCACTGATTACAAGGTTCAACAGCAACCCCATCTTGCAACCAAGCTTAATGCTCAAGAACAAGCAGTTAGATCTGATATACAAAAGACTCCAGGGTTCCCATTTCCTTCTTCTGGGCTCGAGAGAAGTAACATTTTACCTTCTCAAGGAAAGGGTTATGATAACAATGTTGAAGTTTCAAGGCAGGGTTTGTCTTTGCAACTCTTTAGTTCTTCCCCTGAAGATGATAGTCCTTCTAAACTGGGTTCCACGAGGAAGTATTTCTCCTCAGATAGCAGTAATCCGATGGAAGATAGGTCTCCTTCCTCTTCTCCACCTATTGTGAGGAAACTATTCCCTTTACACTCGGCTGCAGAGAACATGAAGCAAGAGAGAATCTCAATTTGCAGAGAAGAGAACATGGTGCTTGATGCCAGTCCCAGCCATGGGTCTAGTTCAGCTTTGGAGCTGTTTAAAAGTCCAAATGGGAAAGCTGAAAATGGTAGCCACTCAAATTTACCATATCAGGGAATGGAAGCGAGATCAGCAGTTTTTCAAGCTGGGTATAGCTCTTCTTCCGGGTCTGATCAGTCCCCTTCCAGCTCAAATTCTGATAGCCAGGTAAAGATTTTCTGTCTCCCTAGTTTTTAGTTCAAATTAGGCACCGGCGTTGATTTGGGTTGGTCATTCTGTGCTTCTTATTTGAAGCTCCTGGCCATTTTTATCAACTGATAGTTTGCTGTCTCCCTCTCTCTCTCTCTCACACACACACACACACACAGTCTGAGCTATTAAATATTGTATAACTTATGTTACATGGATTTGTCATTGTTACTTGCAGGAACGGACCGAGCGAATAATATTCAAGCTTTTTGACAAGAATCCCAGTAATTTCCCAGGAAAGCTTGGAACAAAGGTGAGAGGATTGAAATATAATCCTGGACGAAACATCCCTTAGTTTAAGTACTTTATATGACCATATTTTACCATCTTTTCAGATTTTGGAGTGGCTTTCTCATAGTCCCTCAGAAATGGAGAGTTACATAAGACCGGGTTGTGTGGTTCTTTCGGTTTACATATCAATGTCTGCTACAGCTTGGGAGGAAGTGAGTGCAAACTCAACTCATTGATTGGCTACTCGCTTCAATAGTAGTAAAGAGTCATTTTCAATCTTGTGGTGGTTTTTAAGCATGTGGTGACTGTACAAGTCATACTCAAATCACTTTTTTCCTTCAAACTGTTCATTAAGTGATGATGTGGCCATCTACAAAACTTATGGGCGAGAAAATTGCCATAAGGCTTCAATCCGACACCATTTTCTCCTTCTTGAAAACTGATGACCTGTATTGGCTGCATTTTCTCTCTGCTAGACACCATTTTTTTTTGTTTTTTTATTTTTTAAATTCTTTCCCGAGGTTGTTCACTGGAGTGATTATGGGTAAGGTCCTCTAGATACTTCTTATATTTCTTTCATTTTTGTGTTTTTCTGGGCTGAGTTAATGCTACATTAATTAGCACATGGACATATTTTCCCTATATAATGAATATGTTGATTGATTGAAGGATGCATTTTCTTCTTTGCAGTTGCAAGAAGGCCTCATGCAACGTATACGCTTACTTGTTGAGGATTCCACCACAGATTTCTGGAGAAGCGGTCGGTTCTTAGTTCAAACAGACAGACAATTGGCATCACATAAAGATGGTTTGTGTCTTGTCTTCATTTCTTCGTCTCTCTCTCTCTCTCTCTCTCTCTCTCTTTCTTATGCTTGCGTCTATTGGTAGAATTATTTTATTTTCTTTTTCTTTTGAGTTATAGCTTGGTTGCTATAATAAGAAAGCATAATCAAGACTGGTCGTCTTTTGCTCCCATCTCTCAGGGAAGATACGTTTGTGCAAATCATGGAGAACATGGAGTACTCCTCAACTAGTTCTTGTGTCTCCCCTGGCAGTTGAAGGTGGGAGGGATACCCAACTAGTTTTGAGAGGTCACAACTTGACTCTTCCTGACACCAAGTAAGTGGAAGGAATTCATGTATATGTTATGATCTTTTTCCTTAAAATCACTATAGAAAAGAAGAGCTTTTTTTGCTTTGAATTATTCTCTTTTTGATAAATTGGCGGGAAACCATTACAGAATTCATTGCGCACATATGGGGAAATACATAACAAAAGACGTTTTGAAAGATAGTTCTGTTGCTGTATACGATGAACTGGATTCAGAGACCTTCAACTTCCCTGGTGATGGGGTACCCAATGTCATGGGTCGTTTCTTTATTGAGGTGATTTGCTTAAATTTATTTTCATTAGATCTCTATAAAATAATGTCTAGAGCAAGTATTGCTTTAAGGGGAAGTAATTGCATCATGATCTTATTCTTCAGAAAGTATTGCTTTGTAAACCTGTTGATCTACAGGTGGAGAATGGCTTTAAGGGGAACAGCTTTCCTGTTATAATTGCTGAAGCTTCAGTTTGCACGGAGTTGAGAACCCTTGAACCCGACTTTGAGGAAGATCTTAGAACAGTTAATGGGGATGATTCAACTTGTGATATTGGTTGCCCAAGGTCTAGGGAGGATGCCCTTCACTTCTTGAATGAACTTGGATGGTTGTTTCAAAGGAAGAACACCCCTTCAAGATTCATTGATATCAGATTCTCTTCTACTCGTTTTAAGTTTCTCTTTGTTTTCTCAGTTGAAAGGGACTGGTTGGCTCTGGTTAAGACACTTCTTGATATTTTTGTTGATGAGAACTTGGGTACAGATGGAAATTTGACAAGGGAATCATCTGAATTACTCTCTGAGATACACCTTTTGAACAGGGCGGTCAAGAGAAAGTGCAGGAAAATGGTGGATTTGCTTCTATGTTATTCCTTATGTAGAGGTGGTCCAAAGAAGTTACTCTTTACCCCTAATCTAGCAGGACCTGGCGGCCTTACTCCTTTGCATCTGGCTGCTTGTACTCAGAACTCTGAGGACTTGGTGGATGCACTTACCAGTGATCCACTAGAGGTAACTTCTGTCTTTCGTATTCTTTGTTTGTATTTAGATGCGAATTCAAAGGTCCTAAATGAAATATTTGTCCAAACTTGTTTAAAATAACAAAGAAAATTAGGAGGCTGCAAAAAATAGATTATCTGTTTAAAGCTTATGGCATTTTAGGTTTAAGCTGATGGCATTTTAGGCTGTAAAGAAAATAGTTGACTTAGAAAATGATGAGACCCTGAAGAAGCCGTAGCATGTGGGGTAGACCAAGCTTGATTGTACAAGAATTAAGAAAATCCGAGCCGGTTAAATGTTTTAGCCCCACAAATAAATGGTAAACTATTTCTTAGAAAAACAAATGAACTTGTAGTTCAATGTAATTGACCGTGTCATTGTCAAATATACAAGAAGTAATTATACTGGTAGGTATTCCTAACTCTTGAGAGATGTGGGTAGGAATAAAATGATGAGTCAGGTTTATTTCTTGGAATATGTTTTATGTTTTTTTTCTTTTGAATAAGTGGATATTTTTATGTTAAATGGAGAACATTCGAACCTGAGTTTTTGGCTGTTGATTGATTTGGACATCACTTCTCTTGGTACTCTTTCATATCTTACAATTGAAATCCTTATTTTTTGTGATAGAAACTTTCTGATATTGGTAGTTCTGAAGCAAAAGAAAATTGCTTGATACCCATATATGCTTTGGTGGCAGGTTGGTTTGAAATTCTGGAATACAGTGACAGATGCGAATGGCCAGACCCCATATGCCTATGCCCTAATGAGAAATAACAACCATTACAACAGACTGGTTGGCAGGAAGCTTGCAGAGAGAAATGGCCATGTATCTTTAACTGTTATGGAATCAGTTGCTCCTTTAGAGCCATCTTCTATTCTGTCTAAATCCACTTCGTTACAACCTCGATCTTGTGCAAATTGTGTAGCCATGGAAGCCTCAGGAAGACGATATAGAATGCCTCGCAGCCATGGTCTTCTACATAGGCCTTACGTGCACTCGATGCTAGCTATTGCAGCTGTTTGTGTGTGTGTGTGCTTGTTCTTGAGATGCCCACCAGATATTGGCTCGGTTGCTCCATTTAAGTGGGAGACTATAGATTTTGGCAGTCTTTGAAAACCTAATTACTGGAACTTTCAACAAGTAGCGGTGGTGATTTTGAGCTTGTGATTAATGGATAACTGTTGCTTCTTGGGTTTCTCAAGTAAATGAGATTGGAACATGCAAAGCGGTATAGTATAATGATTGAGGTATGGAGAAAGTGATCGAGTGTTTATGAAGGTGTCACTTTTAGCTTATGAGCTAATGTGAAGCTGTTTCTGTGTCTTAGGGGTTTTTGTTTCTTGGGTATTTCGTCTAGGCAAGCTTCAAAACCCATAAGGGTATGGAGGAGAGAGGATTAGAAAGAGAGAATAAGAAAGCGAAACCCAAGTTCAATTGGTTATAGTGTGTGCTCCTCAGATATTCTTCTGGTTGTATCGATGGAATTGTTAGAGATATGATATTTTAGCTTTGTTAAGATGCAAGGGATGCAAATTCTTGGTCGAGAAAACACCCAAATGGCTTTTTTCGTTGGAGCAAAGCCCAAAGAAAAGAAGAAGAAAGTGCTACTGAATCAGCCTGTGAATCTTGTGTCATGCATGAATTGAAGTCGAGAGCGGAGCAGCGGTTTCAACGACAGTCGTCCTGGATGGATGGATCTCACTAATTGGGTTTAGTTGGCGATTTACTGACTCTGGATTTTGTCGTTGTAGAATCAAATACCAAATATATAGTATTTATTCAAAAATGTTACAGGAATAAATATTTTGATATTGTTGTTGGCATAATACCATTGCTATTCTTTTCCTCGTTAACCTTCAATTCTTTTTGTCAAATGGCTTGAACATTGACCATGTCGATTGGTAAAATATGTGAGATCCAGTTCGTTGGTTGAACTATTCTGAGATTCTCTTTAAGAAAGTTTCAATCTTATATTTTTGAGATTCTTTTGGCTGCTTAATATTACTGATATTAAAAGCAGGGTTGACCTAGAAAATGTAGATCGGTGATAGTAAAAATCGCTGTCCGACTAATGACCGGTCAGGGCCCCGTGATTCTGGCTCAGAAAACCTTCGGAATCACCTTAGTTTTGAGGATCTATTTTTTTTTTTAAAATAGCCTGGTCTGGCCGTGCTTGTCCCTTACTGAGTTGGAGCCAGTTTCTTATTTATTCTGGGGAAATTATTCCAATACATTTAATTTAATTTAGATTACGTATTAAAAAAGACTATTGACTTGAAATAGTTGCAAATGGTTCTCTTGGATATTTGTTTTCCTATATTCTAGTGATTTAAAAATCAGATTGGGGACCTTGATCTGGTATTGTAAAAACCAGTTTGGATCGGTAAATTGGTGGTTTGGATTGTCGTTTTACTTTGTGGCAAGACGGTGAACTGATGAAAAAAACTTGCAAAAGTAATGAACCGGTTAAAACCCGGGCTTGATTGGCGAATCAACATTTTTACAGTAGCATATTATTGGTTCTTTTCTAAGCTTATATGATTATCTATATATTGACAGAATTGGCTTAGGTGATTGATTTTTTGGTCAGACTGAGTGATGCGTGTCTATCCTCTCTTTTGTTTTAATAAAATTGATAATTATATATTACAAGATCATTTATCTTTTTCATAAGGAGGTCACAAATGCTACTAGTTATATGGAATTGGATTGCTGCAATCTAATCAATTACACAACCACCCATTTGGAAATTCGATAATAAGTTACACGTGCTTGTACCTCTTCTTATTAAAAGTAAATGATCTTTTTTGTATATTTTTTTTATAGAACTCACTGGTCTGTACCTCTTCCTATTAAAAGTAAATGGTCTTTTTGTATAGTAAATGGTATTTTTATATATTTTTCCATACAACTCACCTGGCTGGTTTTTAAAAATTTGTTGTATCATATTACCATACAACCGATGGATGAAATGATCGTCCTTTTTCTTTATTTTGTTTTATTTTCTCCCTCTCTCTCTTGCTTGCTTGCAGCTGACGCGAATAATGCGCAGGAGTTACGAGAGGGGGGAAAGTAATTGCGGCGTTTGCTTTATTTAGAGGCCTTTGCCGTCAGAGTCCACCTCACCATTTGTTGGACAGTGAACCCAGTCGGATGCCGTGTGGGCCCGTGGACTCACAAGCCCACTCGCACCCACTTTAGGCCGCCGTAGTTGACCTTGGTTCCAAATCACCAAGTCCTATGTCCTAGAGAGAGAAACTCTCTCTCTCTCTCTCTAAATAAGAAAGAGAGAGAAAACCACTCACATGGGCTAAAGGTCTGAGGAGAGAGTCGGAGTGAGAGAGAGACCCTGTAGAGAGAGGAAAGGCTTTTTATCTAAGACAGAAAACCGCACACTTGGGCGAAAGGACTGAAGGGCTTTGACTGAGATGGACGGTGCTGATTTGGCTCAGAAGAGTTTATCGTTATGAGATCACGGGTGACGTAAGGCCCACGACAGGTGGTAGATAAGGGTTTAACGGTGAACACTGATTGGCAGCCGTCAAAGAGAGAGAGCCAGGAGGCGGGAGAGAGAGAATTTGGCGACTGTGAATTCTAGGTCGGTGATGATGACCAACGTGGCAAAACCTATAAATTAGAGTGGGGGTCCTTCAATTGGGACAAAGTTTGCAAGTCGGGACTATAATTCGGCTCATCATAAAATCCGAAATAAGTCGTTGGGAAAATTACATAAAACCTTTATACTTTCATGGCACTTTACCCACCTATTGATTTATTTATTTTAAACATATTTTCCCCGCAAAAGGACCGCTCATTAATTTAGAAACAAATGCCGGACCATGTCTTCCAAATTTTAGACTGCCATTATGAAGTGTCAGAACGCTGACCGTTCGAAATAAGCGACTTAAGTGCCGATCGCCTCTTTCAAACGTCGGACCTTTATGGTTAACGTATGAGTTAAAAGAGGGGTATTTTAGTCTATTTTTTTTGTTTCCTACTTTTTGAGTTGGGGGTATTTGTTAAAAAATATGGTTTTGAAAAAAAAGTTGCTAAAAAAAGTTAGGTCGGGAAAATTAATTAAAAAGTTTATTTTTGGGGTTTTTATGTAATTTTTTTTTAAAAAAAAAATTGGATGAAATAATTGAGTAAAAAATAAAGATCGGTAAAAATGCTTCATGTAAAGATATTGCAAATATATCGGACTAGGCTCGACAAATCTAAGTAAAAAATTCGGATAAGTTAAACAATATTAGAAATTTTGAAATACATACACCCTATAAATTTTGAAATACACCTACTTAGTAGGTAACAAAAAAAAAACCAAATAAATTCTCTTTTTTTTCTCTCTCTCTCTATATATATATATATATGAGTTTTTCATTAAAATACGCAAATTTTTACGATAAATACACCGTATGAATACATCATATGATAACTATGGTTTGGTTAACTACGATATGGTGAGTTGGAAGCATCGAGATATATGATAACGACGGTACGGTGAGGTGGTAACCCATTACTGCAAAATGGTAGCAAGAAGCATCCGGAGTTGTGGACATTCGTAACATGCAGAGAGGAAGAAGAATAAAACCCCAATTGGAGCAGCACGCAGAGATGGAGAAGCAGCACATTCCGAGAGAGAAGCAGCATGCACAGAGGGAGCAGCACACACAAAGGAACCATGGGTTTGGGAAAATATAAAAACCTGTTTGTGGATTGAGTGAAAGAGAGAAACAATACGCACAGAGGAACTATGGTTTTGGGGATATGAAAAAACCCATTTATGGTTTTTTTTTTTGCTTTTGTATTGATTTTGTAATATAGAATTTTGGAAACTCTTTGAACCCTACTACTTTGGATTGAATTTTTTGTGAAATTTTGTCACACCAAATTTTCGGAATTTTTTATTCGATGGTTTTCATGCTTGTTTGTTTTAATTTGATTCTAACTTAGGATAATTTGGATGGTTTGAGCTTTAATTTATGATAATCTGGATGGTTTGAGCCTTAATTTATGATAATCTGGATGGTTTGAGCCTTAATATATGATAATCTTCATGGTTTTATGCCATAAACAGTATTTCCATAATAATCACATAAATCTGCATCTATTTTAGATTATTTTTTTTTTTGGAAATAATACGTTTTTTAGATTTGTTTTTTGGGAAATAATACGTTTTTTTATTTGAAATCGTATAAAAAGATTTGTGAAGGTTAATTTTTATAAATAAAAGTTTAAAAGAATGAGATAAAGTGACGAATGGAGTGATGAAATACTTAAAAGTGTTCCTAATGCCATTCAAAAAAAATTTAAAAATATTCTACATGAACTAATACGAAGAATAAGGGTTTTATATGATTTTTTTTTTTATTTAAAATAAAAAACACCGTTTATTTGCAAAACTATATTTGAGAGAGAGAAAAGGGGTTTAGAGAGAGAAAGTGTGGGCTGAGTACGTGCATCAGCTAATCACGGAAGCTGAATTTAGAGAGGGAAAGAAAAAGAATGGGTTGCTTACCTGCATCCACCTAATCCCAGCCGTGGGATTTGTTTGAAATGATTTGAGAGAGAGTTACTCTTCGGTTACCATTCAACAAATTTCTGCCCCGCCTCGCCCCTTTCTATGGGATAGGCTGCGAGGACACGTTTTCGTATAGTATGGACCCGATATGATACCAAATGTGAAATCCATCAAAAAAAAAAAACCAAAAACCAAATCTATAAATAAATCCAAGGAATACTTTACTCTTAGAATTCATGGAAGTGTCAACCCTCTCTCTGTAATAAACATGTTTGAGACTCTAGCCATCCACTCCATAAGGCTCTAAGACTTCATAAAAATCACAGTCTGATAAAAAATAGTACCCTATTAGAGTACTAAGTGCATGCCCAATCACATTAATAGTGGATCCACCTATCTCAAGATGTTCATGGAGTTAAACCGATCCTTATATGTTAATGGAACAAGGCATGAATTCAAGAGAAGAAAAGAACCACAGTATACCAAAGCTGATCTCAATAACAAACTGAGAAAGCGTCAAACAAAACTGATTAGATGAATGAGATTGCGCAGATCAAAACAAAGCATACACTGATAAAAATGAACAAGAAGACCCCATTATCAGATTGAGAAACAGAGCAAACATTCAGATTTCAGAATAAACTACTGTTGCCAATTGGGTTAACATTGTAATGATTTTGAAGACGATACTTATGACTATAGAATAAAATTCAATGCACTCTCTTTATTTTAATAGAGCATGGAGTACTAGTTATCTATTTGGGAAAAGGGCAAGCTTTCTATGCTTCCCTTACAACATAGAACTTATATACTTCTTTTTATCCTACCGTCCATTAGGAATAGATGGTTAAGATGATCCAAATCACAATGTCACGTCTCTACACTATTTTATTTTTACAAAATATTTTGATATCAAATTTTTTATGCCTAACCCTCTCTTAAACTCGCACTTGTTAAAAATATAAAAAAAATGTTCTCAATAAAATAAAATAACCAAAATACTCTTGAAATATTCTAAAGGTATTTTCATCATTATATTTTATTGAAAAAAAAATTTTTAATATTTTTTTTAGGTGAGACCCATTGAGAAGATGACACGTACCAAATTTTATATTCATACAATTTATAGAGAAAACCTAAAAATAAAATACTCTAAGACATCGGATCTAGATCAAACAATGAGTGGCTCACTTGATCAAAATTGGACGGTTAAGTGGATGAAAAAACGTATATCTTCTATGCTGTGGGGGAAGTGTAGAAACCTTGACCTTTGGAAGGGCAAATGGGGCACCAAGTTTAACTGATACATCTTGCCAAATCGCCTGTGCAACCACTTTCT